TCTAATGTTGACAGTGGGGTGTTGAAGTCTCCCATTATTATTGTATGGGAGTCTAAGTCTCTTTGTAAGTCTCTAAGGACTTGCTTTATGAATCTGGGTGCTCCTGTATTGGGTGCATATATATTTAGGATAGTTAGCTCTTCTTGTTGAATTGATTCCTTTACCATTATGTAATGGCCTTGTTTGTCTCTTTTGATCTTTGATGGTTTAAAGTCTGTTTTATCAGAGACTAGTATTGCAATCCCTGCTTTTTTTGTTCTCCATTTGCTTGGTAGATCTTCCTCCATCCCTTTATTTTGAGTCTATGTATGTCTCTGCATGTGAGATGGGTCTCCTGAATACAGCAAACTGATAGGTCTTGACTCTTTATCCAGTTTGCCAGTCTGTGTCTTTTAATTGGACCATTTAGTCCATTTACATTTAAGGTTAATATTGTTATGTGTGAACTTGATCCTGCCATTATGATATTAACTGATTATTTTGCTCGTTAGTTGATGCAGTTTCTTCCTAGCCTCAATGGTCTTTACATTTTGGCATGTTTTTGCAATGGCAGGTACCGGTTGTTCCTTTCCATGTTTAGTGCTTCCTTCAGGGTCTCTTGTAAGGCAGGCCTGGTGGTGACAAAATCTCTAAGCATTTGCTTATCTGTAAAGGATTTTATTTCTCCTTCACTTATGAAACTTAGTTTGGCTGGATATGAAATTCTGGGTTTAAAATTCTTTTCTTTAAGAATGTTGAGTATTGGTCCCCACTCTCTTCTGGCTTGTAGAGTTTCTGCCAAGAGATCTGCTGTTAGTCTGATGGGCTTCCCTTTGTGGGTAACCCAACCTTTCTCTCTGGCTGCCCTTAAGATTTTTTCCTTTATTTCAACTTTGGTGAATCTGGCAATTATGTGTCTTGGAGTTGCTCTTCTCGAGGAGTATCTTTGTGGCGTTCTCTGTATTTCCTGGATTTGAATGTTGGCCTGCCCTACTAGGTTGGGGAAGTTCTCCTGGATGATATCCTGAAGAGTGTTTTCCAACTTGGTTCCATTTTCCCCCTCACTTTCAGGCACCCCAATCAGACGTAGATTTGGTCTTTTTACATAATCCCATACTTCTTGCAGGCTTTGTTCATTTCTTTTTCTTCTTTTTTCTTTAGGTTTCTCTTCTCGCTTCATTTCATTCATTTGATCCTCAATCGCTGATACTCTTTCTTCCAGTTGATCGAGTCGGTTACTGGAGCTTGTGCATTTGTCATGTATTTCTTGTGTCATGGTTTTCATCTCTGTCAATTTGTTTATGGCCTTCTCTGCATTAATTATTCTAGTTATCAATTCTTCCACTCTTTTTTCAAGATTTTTAGTTTCTTTGCGCTGGGTACATGATTCCTCCTTTAGCTCTGAGAAGTTTGATGGACTGGAGCCGCCTTCTCTCATCTCGTCAAAGTCATTCTCCGTCCAGCTTTGATCCGTTGCTGACGATGAGCTGCGTTCCTTTGCAGGGGGTGATGTGCTCTTATTTTTTGAATTTCCAGCTTTTCTGCCCGCTTTTTCCCCATCTTTGTGGTTTTATCTGCCTCTGGTCTTTGATGATGGTGACGTACTGATGGGGTTTTGGTGTGGGTGTCCTTCCTGTTTGTTAGTTTTCCTTCTAACAGTCAGGACCCTCAGCTGTAGGTCTGTTGGAGGTTGCTTGAGGTCCACTCCAGACCCCGTTTGCCTGGGTATCAGCAGCAGAGGTTGCAGAAGATAGAATATTGCTGAACAGTGAGTGTACCTGTCTGATTCTTGCTTTGGAAGCTTCCTCTCAGGGGTGTACTCCACTGCGTGAGGTGTGGAGTGTTGGTCTGCCCCTAGTGGGGGATGTCTCCCAGTTAGGCTACTCAGGGGTCAGGGATCCACTTGAGCAGGCAGTCTGTCTGTTCTCAGATCTCAGCCTCCATGTTGGGAGATCCACTGCTCTCTTCAAAGCTGTCAGACAGAGTCCTTTGCGTCTGCAGAGGTTTCAGCTGCTTTTTTGTTGTTGTTGTTGTTGTTTAGCTGTGCCCTGTCCCCAGAGGTGGAGTCTACAGAGACAGGCAGGACTCCTTGAGCTGCCGTGAGCTCCACCCCGTTCGAGCTTCCCAGCCGCTTGGTTTATCTACTTAAGCCTCAGCAATGGCGGGTGCCCCTCCCCCAGCCTCGCTGCTGCCTTGCAGTTAGATCGCAGACTGCTGTGCTAGCAATGAGGGAGTCTCCGTGGGTGTGGGACCCTCCTGGCCAGGTGTGGGATATAATCTCCTGGTGTGCCCGTTTGCTAAGATCCTTGGTAGAGTGCAGTATTGGGGTGGGAGTTATCCAATTTTCCAGGTGTTGTGTGTCTCAGTTCCCCTGGCTAGGAAAAGGGATTCCCTTCCCCCTTGCACTTCCCAGGTGAGGCGATGCCTTGCCCCAGTTGCAGAATTTCTAGAGAGGTGTCCTCTGCTGAAATCTCAGTATTCACTACTTCTTAAAAACCCATGCATGGATGGAGAATGACATCAGCAAGATGGATGAACTTAGAAAAGCCTGGTGTTCACCCCCACCCTCCCCACAAGAAAGGAACAAGGCAAAGAAGAAACAGCTAAGGTTCGACTGGAGTGTTGAAGGGAGACTGACGGAGTGCAGCAGAGGTGTGGAAACGCACCTGTGGTGATCTGAATGCAGCATGGAGGCACTTGGCCTTTGCAGCCTTGTCTTCCCCACCCAGATGGGATTGCCCTGGACACAGGAGGGACTTCCCATGTAGAGAAAAGGTAAGCAGATTTCCCACCAGCACCACTGCCACTGCAAACATCTACAACCCTTACAACAGGAGAATTCCACAGTCTTTGCAAGCCCTCAGCCAAGTTTGGGAGCTGCCACGAATGATCCAAGATTAGGAGCACAAGGTGCATACTCCCTGCCCCCATTCATCCACTGTGAGCCAAGCTGCTGCAGCCCAGTGCCATCTTGGGACCGAAGCCACCTCTGGAGTGCATCCTGCCCTGAGGCCAGTAGCCACTGCCCCTTTCTAGCACTGGGGCTCCATCTTCATGATGCCCATATCTGGGTGGTTGAATGCCACAACCCTGGCTGTGCAGAGCCTAGGCTGAGGATTGGCAGTGACTCTGGCCCTGCACAGCAAAAATCCCAACCCCTGCTGCTGCACATCCAGCTGGAGGAAAAGCCAGCCAGTCCTTCCCAGGGTGAATCCACCACTGATATGGTCAACCTGCTGAGTGCCCTCCCCTGAGCAGGAGAGGCCCCTGAACCACTGAGCCCCTGACACTAGCTCCAGGCTGGCAGAATGGATATGTGCCCACATTTGGGGCCTCAGAAGTAGCCTTGTGGCATCCAGTCAAATTCCCACAGATACGCCACTGACCTGCCCAAAGGCTTTACACCTGCAATTAGACCTGAGAAATGGCATCATGGGCCACCCCTGGCAGACACTCCTATAAGCCAGCAAGCAGCTGTGTCCCCATGACTCAGGCCTGAGAAACAACCCTGTGCCACCCCAGCCCCCCAGCAGACACACACCCAGGCCAGCTGAGGAAGCCATGTGGCCATGTCCTGGGTCTGAGAAAGAGCCCATGGGGTGGCCCCAGGAGACACATGCCCAGGCCAGTTGAGCAGCCATGCACTTGTGTCCTGAACCTGAGAAACAGCCCTGTGGATTGCCCTCAGAAGCCACAGCCCCAGGCCAGCCAAAGAGACTTGTGCTTGGGTCCTGGGCATCAGAAACAGCCCCATGTCCCCAACCCTAGTGAGCCTGGCACCAAGTTGGTCAATCCACCATGTGCATGCATGTGCCCCTGACCTCAGAAACAGCCTGGTGAGTCCACTTCTAGCAACGTTGCACTACCACTGCCACAAACCTCTCAGCTTAGGCCACTGAGACACTTGCAAATGTCACTAATGTGGACTGCAGCTGAAGAAACTACATGGAGACTACACTACTGCATCGACCTAGAACTAAAGCCAATGCACCCCACCAAACTGACACCCTGAGACCCATCTGTACTAGCAAGTCTTTTCCTACAAAACCTACTCCATTAAATTGGAAGGGATGACTGGTCTACCAGATGTGTAGAAATCAACGTAGGAACACATAAAACATGAAAAGGCAAGGAAACATGACACCTGAAAAAGACAACAGTAATTCTCCAGTAGCAGACCCCAATCATAAGGAAATATACAGAAAGTCAGAAAAGTAATTCAAAATGATAGTCTTAAAGAAACTCAGTGAGACACAATAGTGTACTGATAGAAAATTCAATGAAATTGGGAAAACAATTTATGATTTGAATGAGGAATTCAACAAAGAAATAAGTATCGTAAAAAAGAACCAACAGAAATTCCAGAGTTGAAGAATTCAACGAATGAAATTAAAAGTACAACTGAGAACTTCAAGATTAGAGTAGGCCAAGCAAAAGAGAGTTTCTGAAGTTGAAGACAGATCTTATGAAATAATTCAGGCAGATGAATAAAAAGAAAAAAAGAGTAAAAAGGAATGAAGAAAATCCCCAGGATTTACGGGCACAATTAAGTGAACAAATATTTGCATTATGGGTATTCCAAAAGAGAAGGGAAATGGTGTAGAAAACACATTTAATGAAATAATAGCTGAAAACTTTCTGTCTTTGGAGAGAGATGGGCATCCAGATCCAGGAGGCTCAAAGAACCTGAAATAGAACCTTTTTGAGGCACACTGTCAAAAGTCCAATTGTCAAAAGTCAAAGAGAAAGAATTCCAAAACCAGCAAGAGAAAAGCATTAAGTCACATATAAGGGAATCTGCATTACTAAGAACAGATTTCAAAAATATGAAAAAGGGTTTTCTGTGATCTCTGTTGCTGAGCCGAAAAAACAATGTAAGACACGGCAAGAAGTTCCATTTTTGCTTAACTCCACACCTGCTCCTGGTCTGGGCCCCGGGCTGGTAGTGCTGGGTGCCCTCTGGGGTCCTGAGCCTCCCTGCAGGGAGGTTTGTGTCTGGGCTCACACTGACTTCCCCTCACTGTGTCTCTTGCACAGTAATACACGGCCATGTCCTCGGGGGTCACAGAGTTCAGCTGCAGGGAGAACTGGTTCTTGGATGTGTCTGGGTTGATGCTTATTCGATTTTGCACAGATTGTGCATAATCATTATACCACTTGGACCTGTAGTATGTCCTTCCCAGCCACTCAAGGCCTCTCGATGGCGACTGCCTGATCCAGTTCCAAGTAGCACTGTTGCTAGAGACACTGTCCCCGGAGATGGCACAGGTGAGTGACAGGGTCTGTGAGGGCTTCACCAGTCCTGGACCTGACTCCTGCAGCTGCACCTGTGACAGGACACCTGGAGACGAAAGGAAACAGCAAAGTTAAACACCCCTCACTCTGTGAATGCTGCTGTGAATACGGCATCGCCCTGACACTGACCCCATGGGAGGCCCAGCACGGGGAGGACGATGAGGAAGGAGACAGACATTGCCTGGAGCTCTGCTGACTGCCCTGGTTAGCCGGAATTCAGCAGGCTCTGCAGTTCTGCAGCGGGGGAGGCTGCATTTAAACAGGAAACCACACCCCGGCATTTGCTTGTGTGCACCACTTGCTGATATAAGGCCCCAGGAAGGAGATGGTCCATTGAAGAGCAGGGGCCCTCAGGTCTACAACGGGGTTTCCCTAAAGCCATTTTCTTCAGCAGATTGGACCCAAAAGAGGAGTTCAGAGGCAGGACCCCCGGGTGTGATGACTCTGGAATTCCAGCATTTGGCATCTTACGCCAACCAAAGTCTATATACCCTTTTTAATGGATTAGATCCCCTTCATTTATTCACCATTCATTCATTGATGCAACAAACCCTGAGGGCCGATGATACTCTGCTCCACCCCCAGGCATGAGGAGGCATCCCTAAGACAGATGCACCATCCCTGTGCTCCTGGGGCCAGGTGCCAGGTCCCTAGAGAAAGAAGGCTCCACACCCACACCACCCCAGGCAGTCCCACTGCTTTGGGAGTGAAGGGCAGCAGGTCAGCATCCTGGTCCTGGAAAAGCCTGCAGTGGAAGGGAGACGGATTTTGCTTCCATGTGGTGGGGCAGGATGGAGCTGAGTGCAGGGAGCTGTGAGCTTCTAAAGGGAGGTCCACAGAGCACAATGGACAAGGGCAGCTCATCCCAAACCCCCAGGGTGGTGGAAACGCCCCAGGATGGGGTTGGATGGGTGAGTAGGAGCTCTTTTTTTTTTTTTTTTTTTTTAAATAGCCTCAATCATGAATCTGCAGGAGTGAGGGCTAATGACAGGTGAGCATGGTGCACACAGAGTCTAGGAGGGGCCTGTTTCTGTCCGGTGACACTTTCTCCATATGTGGCCCTGAAGTGTAACACCCTAGTTCCTGTGGTTCTCGGGGTCTACAGTTCTACCCTCTACTCCTCAGTACTCACTTGTGTCACCCACAGACACTGCATCTGGGGTGTGGGAACAGGGGTGCCACCACTTCTCACCATATCCGAGGGCCACCGCAGGCTGGCTGATTTGTGGGGGTTTGTGGTTCCAGGGCATGGCAGGTCAGCTGCTTTCCAGAGGACCATGAGTGGCTATCTCCTGGGCATGGAGCTCACTGCACAGTCAGGGCAGAGGGCTCAGAGTGCACTGGGGAAAGGCGGCTCCCAGGGCATTCCTGGTGACTGGCTGGGACTGTGAACGTGGAAACCCTGCACTGTGTGAGGAGAGGGCAAGGCAGTGAGTGTGGCTGCCTCCCAGCAGTGTGGGGCTGTGCCTCTGCAAGGGGTCGAACCTGTGTCCTCCTGTCGATGGTAGACTCATTGTCCTCAACCACACCTCCACAGGCCTCTTCCGGACTCACTGTAGGGTCTGACTATGGCCCTGAAAGACAAAGACTTTCCCACCTGCATTCTCAGTCTACAGCCCATCCTGAGCCCAGGGCGAGGTCCAGGCTTGCACAGGAAGGAGGCACTGATGGGCACGGGGTGGACTGTCGCCACAGCGGGCTGCCCAGGGCTGCCAGGTGAATTAGCAGACTCCTAGCTCTCAGATGCAAGGCCAGTTTCCTCTCAGGAACCTACCCTCATTTCCTTGGTAGCCCATTTCACGCACTGGGCTCTGAAGAGTTCTGGTGCAGGATGAGGAGGTGGGACTGAGGTCTGGACAGACAGAGGGGTGTGTCCCATGGGGCCCACATCGTGGGGCTTAGGAATGATGATGTGCCCAGGAGAGGGCATAGCCTCCACCCCTCATTCTTGACAGGGCCTGTGGTGTGGCTTTGGAAATTGGATAAGAATAGTGGCCGCAGTTGCTGGGGCTATAAGAATGGTCACAGTTGAGCTGCGGCCACAGTCCCCCTGAGAGTGTCCTCCCCAAGCCATTCTACAGCTACTCACACCACCCACTCAGTGTCTGCAGGTCCTGGAACTACCCAGAAAGCCTACCTCAAGTTGAAAGGTAAAAGCAAAACTGTCTCTGTTCAGAGATTACATGGTTGTAGACACAGAAAATCTTAAAGAATCTGAAAAAAAAAAAAAAATTCCCCCAAACAAAAACAGAGACTGCTCAAACTAAGAATTTGAGCATATAAGCACCAAACAATTGGAAAATTAATTTTGAAAGGAAAAAACTTGTGAAGACATAAAAAGCAATCAGGATATACCTTAGAAGAAATATCAAACGATGTGGAGATCTTTACACTGAAAATTGGAAAACATTGCTCAGAGGCTGTGAGCACATGAAGAGATACACACAAACTGGATGCATGGATCGGAAAACTCAGTGTGATTAAGATGCCAGTATTCCCTAAATCAAATCTATAGTTTAATCCAAATCAAAATCCTGTTCAACCCAGCAATTCCATTACTGGAATTTCTCCAGGGTATATAAGTACATGTGCTCCAATGATACAATGAATGCTTAGTAATCATGAGCAAATACCTTAAACGTCTTATAACATCTTTCACACAAAAGTTGTTGCATGTCTATTAGCTAATAATTCTTACGTCTCGTCCAGACCATGTAGCGTGAGCAAAGGGATTTCTGACCTTCAGAAGTCCCCATTCTAACTTGAGGACTTCACACAAATGGGTAATGGTCACATGGATTTCACAGTGGTGGTGGGGAGCTTTTGCACTGGAAAGTCATTCTGTAGAGAAGATTCTGTTATCTTAGTAAAATCACACCATTTTATTTTGCAGATTGGAATTACCACCTGATAAAGGGTTACTAAAGGGTTACTGATGTGGGAAGTTTTCCTACTTTATTATCCTTTAGGTTCCTCTGTGATATGGTTTGGCTCTGTGTCCCTACCCCAATCTCATCTCGAATTGTAATTCCCATGTATCGAGGGAGAGTCCAGGTCGGGGGTGATTACAGGCGTCTGCCACCACGCCCAGCTAATTTTTGTATTTTTAGTAGAGACAGGTTTTGCCGCGTTGGCCAGGCTGGTCTCAAATCCTGACCTCAAGTGATCCACCTGCCTCGGCCTCTCACAGTGCTGGGATTACAGGTGTGAGCCATTGCACCCGGGCTCCAGGCTACACTTTAAGCATTTCTTGGGTTCAGTTCACAGCAGCCTTTAGTCCTGAATTAATGTGGCACCGCTACTCACGAGATTACTTCGGAAGATTGCTTGAAGCTTTACATATCTCAAGATCTTTTCACCCTGGCTGGGAGCAACACAAACAATGCTTTCCTTTTGTAGATTCTGTGTAGTTTTGGGTCCACAGGTTTCTGGTGATTTCTCCCTGATGTTGAGTAGATCCTTTCATGCAGGCATAGGTCAGTTATCAGCCTCAAACTTCAGGGATCCCCCTGTCTGCTGCAAGTCTCCAGCTGCTCTTCCCCGTGCCCCCTGCCCATCCTGGCTACACAGCAGCCTGCTCCCTGGTGCTCCTCCCCACAGGCCGCTGCTGCCTTGAACTCTGCTCTCTGTGCGCTCAGCTCACCGAGCCTTTCCCTGTGTCCTGGCAGCTGCTTTCAGGCAGTAGCAGGATTCGTTAGTTTGTTTTTCTTTTCTCAGGGGTTACCATCCTGTGATGCTTGTTTCCAAATGTCTGAAAACTACTTTTTAAAAACATTTCCACCTCAGCGTTCTGTTTGTTTAAGGAATGTGGGTAAGCGCATTTTACCCACATAGCTTGAACCAGCATTAAAATTTTTTCTTAGAACCTGTTAAAGACAAAGTGTAAAACTGATCACAAACTCAAATGCAGGACAGTTACACCGATATTCTTTTTTTGTTAGGTTACAGCCTGGACCTCTGTTGCTGCGGCCGAGGCCCTCTTGCCAGGGCCACAACAGCAGGTCCCGGTTACTGAGCGGGGACTTCCCACGTGCCGCCTTACAATTGCAGTGTTTCTACAAGCAGAGGCCCAAGGAAGCAGGAAGCACTCCTCAATATTTAAATTAGTTAGCAAGAGGCAAGGAATGACTTTCTCTACATGGTGATTAAAAAAAACAGCAACAACTCTGGCCGGGCGCGGTGGCTCACGCCTGTAATCCCAGCACTTTGGGAGGCCGAGGCGGGCGGATCAGGAGGTCAGGAGATCGAGACCATCCTGGCTAACATGGTGAAACCCCGTCTCTACTAAAAATACAAAAAATTAGCCGGGCGAGGTGGCCGCGCCTGTGGTCCCAGCTACTCGGGAGGCTGAGGCAGGAGAATGGCGGGAACCCGGGAGGCGGAGCTTGCAGTGAGCCGAGATCGCACCACTGCACTCCAGCCTGGGCCACAGAGCGAGACTCCGTCTCAAAAAAATAAATAAATAAATAAAAAAGCAACAGCTCTGAAGGTGAGAGGTGCAGTTTGCTCAGGGAAAATAAAACCGATGACCTGACTCAACGCGGACTCAAGCCCCTGCTTCTGGGGCCGCTCTGTGGTCTGGAGCGCCGCCTGGTGGTCCTGTGCTTCCCTGCAGGGAGGTTTGTGTCTGGGCTCACACTGGGGTCCCCATTCTGTGCCTCCCACGGGAATATGTGGCCGTGCCCTTGGCCATCACGGAACTCAACTGCAGAGATAACTGGGCCTTGGATGTATCTCTGCAGATGGAGAGCTGTCCTGGAAGGGTGGGCTGAAGTGTGTGCTGCGCCTGGGGCTGAGGTGCCCCAGCGCCTTCCCAGAGTGCTGCTGGGTTCAGGCCCAGAGGTCCGTGAGGACCTCACCAGCCCTGGGCATGGCTCTAGTAGCTGCACCTGGTGCAGGACGCTCAGTGACAAGAAGCAAAGAGATGAGTCACAAACAGACATCATAGCCCAAAGCCCCAGTTCTGAAATCTCTCAGACAGTCACATGGAGGTACAGCCATCAGGCAGAGGATGACACACAGAAATCTCATGTTCTCCTCAACAAGGGGCACGACTTTCCCACTGGCCTCTCCAGGACAGAACAAGAAAAAATAACAGGCTGTCTCTAGGCTGAGGTTGCATTTCACTGGGTCTCTGGGATAGAAATGTGTCTTGCATCTTCAGGGGTCTGCAGGGCA